GAAGGGGCTCCTCCGAGCCACTCCAAGCTCCACGCGCTTACGCCCCAGACCCTGAACGACGTGAGTCTCTCAAACTTGCGGTTAGGGTTTAGGGTTTCGGGTTTCGGGTTTCGGGTTTAGGGTTTAGGGTTTAGGGTTTAGGGTTTAGGGTTTAGGGCTTCGGGTTTAGGGTTTCGGGTTTAGGGTTGAGGGTTTAGGGTTCTACACTTTTTGTACAACCATAGGGCTCTGCCCGACCTTCTCTCTGGGTTGAGGTTCGTTTTCAGACGTTTCTAGGTTGGAACAACGACCCTGGATCGCTCAGATGGTTTAGTAGGCGGTTTAGGGAGGAGGGATGTTTGTTCCTTAAACCCTGAACCCTGAACCCTAAACCCCAAACCCCAAACCCTAAACCCTAAACGCTGTCAAGATTCCAATCTACAGCTGTGACGGCCGCGCCACTGAAGTCCCAGCACTCGTCAGCTGAGCCTTGATGGGGTGCTTGCCAGGGAGGAGGCGCTGGGGTTCTGGTTGGGGTTTCGGGTTTCGGGTTTAGGGTTTGGGGTTTAGGGTTTAGGGTTTAGGGTTTAGGGTTTAGAGTTCAGGGTTTAGGATTTAGGGTTTAGGGCTACCAGGGCTACCAAGAGGCCTTCCATTCCAACGAAAGGATTAGAAGCACCGTCGCTCCAATCCTCGAAATTTCCATCTTGGGTTCCGTGGAGGAAACCTCGGTTTTAGGTTTAGGGGGAACCCAAGAGGCTTTAGGATTTTCGGCTGAGGCTTGAGGGCTTCAAAACAAGGAACCTATAACACCTATAGATAAAGGAGTTTCTGCAATAGGGGAAACTTGTTGGGGTCCTTATTATCAGGGAATCCTACCATTTGGGGGGCCATTGTAGGGTCGGGTTTTAGGGGTTAAGCCCAAACTCTAGCACCCAAACATAAACCCGAAACAGGTTTGGTTTAGGGTTTAGGGTTTAGGGTTTAGGGTTTAGGGCTTAGGGTTTAGGGTTTAGGGTTTAGGGTTTAGGGTTTTAGGGTGTAGGGCTGTCACTGGGCATCCAAGAGACTAAAGAGGCTCTCGCAGAGCATGGTCGCGGTCGTGCCGAAGATAACCTGGGCTTTAAACCCATTTCTTCCCGTGAGGGCCGCCATGTTCCTAGATGGATGGGTTTCTAAACCCTAAACCCTAAACCCTAAACCCTAAACCCTAAACCCTAAACCCTAAACCCTAAACCCTAAACCCTAAACCCTAAACCCTAAACCCTAAACCCTAAACCCTAAACCAAAATCTCTAAACCCTGGGGATGAGGGTTCCGAGCTTCGTCCTTAGGGATTCTCAAAAGAAGACGTCTGTCCGAAGAAGATTCAGGCGGCATCCAACGGTCCATCGCCGTCCCAGTCCTTACTCTGTTCTTCTTAGGGAACTATTAGGGTTTAGGGATTAGGGTTTAGCGCTTAGGGCTCAGGGCTACTTCTTCGTAGGGAGTTAGGTGCCCTATATCCCCCGATAATACCCCTTAACCGGCCAGATTCCTCTAATCCTAAACCACCCCAAACCCCAAACCCCAAACCCTAAACCCCAAACCCCAAACCCTAAACCCTAAACCCTGAACCCCAAACCCTAAACCCTAACCTTCCTCAGCGCCCGCGAGAATCTGCCACAATCAGGCTGGACTTCGTGCTCACTCCGAAGCCGGAGAAAGGACTTCGCACCTGCGAGGTTCTCCAGTTAGTTTAGGGTTTAGGGTTTAGGGTTTAGGGTTTAGGGTTTAGGGTTTAGGGTTTAGGGTTTAGGGATTAGGGTTTAGGGTGAACCTCAATAGTACATACTTGGACTCCGACATCACCGTATAGGAACTACCTTGAGGTCCGAGCGGGACCTATTTAGGTGGGTCACTACTGCCATGAGGGCTCGTGCTACACATGGGGTGAGGGGGGGGAGGGGGGGAAGGAGGGCGTCCTCCTTCAACACGGAGGAGTGTGTGCGCTCAAAGTAGAGGATCTCTGCCGGCCATGCATCTTGGTCGGGGTTCCTTATCAAAAGATCCAGGTCGCCGTCTTCGTCCCAATCAATTGCAGCGAACGGAAGCGAGTAGATTTCTGACGGCGCCAGCATGGAACCTGGTGACAGCCAGCTGCTTGTGACACCCCTGCAAGCACCCTCAAGCCCTCAACCCCCAAGCCCCTAGAACCCCAAACCCTAAACCCCAAACCCTAAACCGATAAGGCCTAAGTCAGCCCCCGATGGCGACCGAAGGAGCCTGATAGCAGCTGGCCGACCTTGTCGACGAGCATTACAGCAGACGTGTTTCGAAGAGTGCCTGCAACTTGGGACGGAGGGTGACAGGGGCACATCCCAGAAAACCGAAGCAGAACGAAGAAGGGTCCTTACGGACATAAACCTAAATTTTTAAAGAGAAAAACCCTAGACTGGCCCTAAAGCCTATAAACCCTAAACCCTAAACCTACCTTTCCTCTCTTAACAGGGCTTGTTTCTCGACCTTGCCCTGAACGCCAATACGTTTCCTCCGGCCCTAGCGACACCCGTTCGCGGAGGCCCTCCCTAGGGACCGACCCTACAAGGAGGCTCACGGCTTAGAGGTTCAGGTTTAGGGCTTGGGGCCGTTTAGGGTTTAGGGTTTAGGGTTTAGGGTTTAGAGTTTAGGGTTTAGGGTTTAAGGGCTAAGGGCTAAGGGCTTAGGCTTTAGGGTTTGTGGCCCTGGCCGACAGGACTGCACAGCTGCATCTTTGGAGTAGGGTGGGAGTATCTACACACATATGATGTGGATCAAGGGGGGGGTGACCACACATGAATATATACATGCATGTATGTATGTATGTATGTATGTATGTATGTGTGTATGTATGTATGTATGTATGTATGTATGTATGTATGTATGTACGTATGTATGTAAATAAGTATGATAATAATAATAATAATAATAATAATAATAATAATAATAATAATAATAATAATAATAATAATAATAATAATAATAATAATAATAGGAGGGCTTTGGGAAGTCTAGGGCTTAGGATGTTCAGGAGAACTTGACAGCCCGTCCCGTGCGAGAGAGTGTCCGGGCCTGTGCTGTCGAAGTCCATGAACCACAGACCCTCGTGGTCTTGTAGCAACCAGTCCTGTAATCCCCTAGAACCTTAAAACAAGAAACTAAACCCTACACCCTACACCCTACACCCTAAACTCTAAACCCTAAACCCTAAACCCTAAACCCTTGGGTATTATGTAACCAAAATAATGAAATAAAAAACCTCCTAAAAGGGGGCAAAAGAGTCTAGATCTCCATCTGAATCCCAGTCGACCACTGCGAAGGCCGGCGTGGCCTGCGTAGGGTTTAGGGTTTAGGGTTTAGGGTTTAGGGTTTAGGGTTTAGGGTTTAGGGTTTAGGGTTTAGGGTTTAGGGTTTAGGGTTTAGGGTTTAGGGTTTAGAGTTTAGGGTTTAGGGTTAGGGTTTAGGGTTTAGGGTTTCTTAAGGCGTCAAGCATGATTTACCCGGTGCTTCATGTCTCCAGTTCAGGGTTTGGTGTTTGGGGTTTAGGGTTTAGGGCTAGGGTTTAGGGTTTTTAGGGTTCAAGGGACTAGAGGAGGGACACTTAAAAGGGACCTTAGGGGTTATTTAGGGGCTACTTAGGTACATAGGGACTATGTATATACGGGAATAAGATGAAGGGTCCCTTCTTGGGGTCCCTCCTTATACCCCTGAATTCAGGCCCCAAGGATCCAGGCACCTAGACTTTGGGGGGGGGGGGGGGGGGTGGGGGGACTAATGAAAGCGAATGTGTGGCCACTGTGTGGGGACTGTGGGATCACTACGACACTACATGGAACAGGTGGCTACTGCTACTAAGGATCACTCCTTACAAGCACAGGAGCCCCGCGCGAACCGCCGACTTGCGAGTCGGGCCCCGACTTTGGTCCGCAGCTCCCCAAGACATTTTTGGGGGGGGGGGGGGGGCTCCTATCCGTTTCGAGCCCGACCCTAAACCCTAGACCCCTAGACCCTAGACCCTAGACAAATAGGACCCTAAACCCTAAACCCTAACCCTAAACCCTAAAACCTAAACCCCAAACCCGAAACCCCAAACCCCAAACCCTAAACCCTAAACCCTGCATTGTCGTTCGCGTTTTTAAAGAGTCTAAGATAACTTGGAGGCACACAAACAGTGTCCACGTCCCGTTGCCTGCGTGCCTTTCATCTTGAACCTTGGGTCTTCGTGGGCATCCATGGCTTAGGAGCCCCCAAAAGAGGGCTTATCCCCTGGTTCTTAGTAGGGTTTAGGGTTTAGGGTTTAGGGTTTAGGGTTTCAGAGGACTTTGGGCTTTGGGTTTTTAGGGTTCAGGTTGGGATGTTCCCCCTTATACTAGCAGTCCTTACCAATGATAATAGCACCCCATTCTACAATCCCCGATAAGGACTGTTAGTGCAAGAAAAAGCATCCCAAGGTTCAGAGCTTATAAAGCCTTTCGGGTAGGGTTCAGGGTTTGGGGTTCAGGGTTAGGCTTTAGAGGGCTTTCGGGTGCTTCCGGGGTGGGGCTTACAGGGCTTTTGCAGGCGTTTATCATGTTTATTGGGCTTTCAACCGGTTTTGCTGCAAGACCAAAGACTTTCAAACTCGCCCTCCATGCCTGAGCCGACTAAACCCTAAGCCCTAAATCCCAAACCCGCACTCCTAAACCCGAAAACCCTAAATCCTCAACCCCAAAACTCTACAACCTGCAAAAACTCTAAACCCTATACTCCCCAAGACCTCGCACCCCCCTAAACCCTAAACCCTAAACCCTAAACCCTAAACCCTAAACCCTAAACCCTAAACCCTAAACCCTAAACCCTAAACCCTAAACCCTGCGTTTCTTACCCCCTTGCGACCGAAGGCGCCGGATGTCTCTGAAAGGGTTGGCGGGCCCGAGCTGCTCCTCAAGCCCACCCTCCTCCTGGCGAAAGTACCTCCGTGCACGGTTTAGGGTTTGGGGTTTAGGGTTTAAAGTCTAGGGTTTGGGGTTTAGGGTTTAGGGTTTAGGGTCTAGGGTTTAGGGTTTAGGGATCCTGTATAAATCTCAAAACTGAACACAACCATCCCCCCCCCCCCCCTCCCGAAACCCACCCTGCCTCACCCAGCAGTTCTTGTCATTGCCCCACATGCCCTCCTCCCCAGCATCCCACTCAAGCAGCAGCAGCTCCGTGTGGCTGTCCCCGTCCCAATCCACGGCTTGAGGGAACGCCTCTGATTTCAGTGCAAGGTTAAGACTTCCACCTGACTACAGGGTCGAAGTCCTTGGGCTTTGGGTCTAAGCCCGAAATCCCTAGCAGCTATCAAAGTCCCTAAACCCTAAGCCCTAAACCCTAAACCCTAAACCCTAAACCCAAAAAACTCTCCCAAACTCACGAGTGGCCCCGTGCGGCACGTCGAGGAGCTTCACTCGGCTCCGCTCCTGCTTTGAGTTAGGGTTTAGGGTTTACGGTTTAGGGTTTAGGGTTTAGGGCTTACAGATTAGGGTTTACGGTTTAGGGTTTAGGATTTAGGGTTTAGGGTTTAGGGTTTGGGGTTTGGGGTTCAGGGTTTAGGGTTTAGGGTTTAGGATTTAATGTTTAAGGTGTAGGGTTGGGAGCTTAGGAATTAGGGACAGCTTCTGCGCCATCTCACGGCAAACCCTAAACCCTAAACCCTGAAATGGCGGAGGCGCTTTTTTGTCACCTAGGTCTGGCTCTCCTTTTCCTTTTCATCGGACCCCCACCCCCCCCCCCCGGAAGCCTAACCAACAAGCTGACCCTAAACCCTAAACCCTACATCCTGCACCCTAATCCCTAAACCCTACTCCCTAATCCCTAAACCCTAAACCCTAAACCCTAAACCCTAAACCCTAGGTGTCTCGGCTTGCCAGCGTGTAGTTTCCCTTGAGGTCCACGTTGTGGGAGGCCCTGGCCCTAAGAGTGGTTGTAATAACCCTCGCGCACGCCACGTCCGCAAGTGCGGTGGCTGTGCTAATCAACATCACACCTTGCTTGACTTCGTCGTTGGCGTGGAGTTCCGACTGAGCTGGATTTAGGCTGCCGCGCTTTGCTGCGCCAACCTCTTTGCTAGCCCGGTTCACTTCAAGCACCTCGCTGCAATTAACTTTGCCGACGTGTTTGGAACAATCTTTCAGTGCATGAGATTTGTATTCGTCTTTGCTCTGTTGACATTGACTGGACAAAATTCCTCGAAAGTGCCACGTGAAGGAACCATCCTGACACAGAGCACGCAGACGCTTGCGAACGCGAGCGCGAGCCACCCTCCTGCAGTTTGTGTCGGGGGCGAGCGTGCCTACAGTGGTGGTCAGAAGAGCGGCGCAGTTGTTGCGCAGTCATCACGCGCCGACTTCTTTACCCAGACAAGCGCTAGAGCTCCTTCGCGGCAGAAGTGTTCGTCGTGGAAGCAGCTCAGCGGAAACAACCATGGCGGGCAGGACACAGCCATGGAAGTGCAACAGTTGTGGCAACATGGTCAAAGGATCACAGACTTTTTGTGGTCTTTGTGGGCAGCCGTGGTACGCCTACACCGCCAAGGAGGACAGTTGGTCGAACGCGCCCTGGCGTTCACAAGCAAAGTCACCACGCAGGCGAGTTTCGCCGCGCAGAAGGCAACCAGATCCAGGAACAGCTTCCACGGTGCCAAAGGCACCAGCGAAGGGAGGCAAGGGTGGCAAACCACACACACCACAGGCACCGCAAGCAGCGCAGCTGCCCCTGCCTCCAGAACCAGAGGTTGGACCTGGACCAAAGGCCGTGAGTGCCCCAGCGCTGCCACCCCAGCAGACAGAGGAGCAAAAGTTGCTAGCGCAACTAGCCGCCCTCGTCCCTGCAGAAAAGATGTCCCCGGATTTGCAAGCAAAACTAGGTGCTCTGAACACAGGCCAGGCTTCCGTGCAGGGGAAAATCCTGCACAAGCTGGTCTCCGCGCAGACAGAGGCGCGCAAAGAACTAGAAGCCATTCGCACGCAGAAAGCTACATATGCCAGCAATTGGGAAGCATACCTGCGCTCCATAGAGGAATTGCTGCAACAACAGTTCAAGGAGAGAGCAGTGGCTATGGAAGACTTTGCGCAGGTAGAGACGCAATGGGCATCCAAGCTCGCCTCGGTTTCGGCGCAACTTGCCGCTGCAACCACTGGCGAGACTCCGGAAGGCATCATCGACTTGACAGAGGACGAGGTGGCAGAAGCCGCAAAAGCAGAGAGCGAAGTACGCATGGACGTAGACAGGGAGACCAAAGCCTTCGAGGCGCGTCAGCAATGCCTGACAACGGCCTTGAACACAGCCCTCAAGGATGCATCCGAGTCGGCAGCAAAAGCAGCGAACGATGCAAGGGAGCGCACCCCCAGGCGCTCCAGGAAAAGCGAACCAGGGGAAAAGACAGACGAGTTGCCCCCTGGCTAGGCCTGTTTGTTTGCTTGCGAGAAGCAGGCAGGCCGTTTCATGACTCCGAGGCCGTTTTAGCCTTTCGCGGGTGCCATTCAGTGACCAACGATCCTGACTATGTTTCGCCGGCATGTGCAGCTTTTCTGGCGCTACAGCAACACCACGAAATGTGCTTTGAGGCGACTTCGTCGAGACATCAGCTCACCTGGCTCGTCGACCCCAGAATCAAGGACGACCTGGTTGAAGCAAGCCGTCAGGAGTCTTCCTGGCATGGACCTTCGGCGCTGAGCTTTCCGGGTGAATGTACCTCCGCAGTCTTGTGGGCGAGCAACTGTGTTGAGAAGAGAGTTCACTCTGACTGCTTCGCGCCTAAGGATCTTTGCAAGGAAGGCTTCGGTAAGAATGCTGCCAGCAAAAAACTGTCTGAGTGGCATGATTCTCCTGTACATAGAAGCAGTTGGCTAAAGCCAGGTGCTAAACTTCTCAGAACTGTTTCCTTTTGTGAAGGGCTAGAACCTCCACTACATGCAATGACGCTTGAGGCATGCAGGGTTGTTAACAACTTTCGGAATACTTTGCACATGGCCTACGCGTGTCCAACTCACAGGGACGGTTCCCTGACGAAACCTGTAAGCAGCCCCCGTTATGCTCTGGCATCTCCGGATGTCACAGTCACACAGGTGCGCAAGTCTGCTGGCTTTTGCCCGACTCGCAGGGACGCTTCTGTGCCGACACCTGAGAGCAGCCTTCCCTACACCACCCCGGCAATGCCTACTTTGCTTACTTCTGAACCAGCGACTGTGGTGGACTCCTCTTGTGCTGAGCCAGAGAATCCTCCTCAGCTCCAGCTGGTCTCACGTGAGCAAAGCCGTGATGGTCCGGCGCCGCCCACAAAGCTGTGTGCTCCAGCGCTAGGTTCCTACCCTGTTGCAGCGCAGGCTGACGGAGCCATTGCGCCAGGCGTCCCAGCCTTCCCAGGTCCGCCAGGTTCCTACCCTGTTGCAGCGCAGGTTGACGGAGCCGCTGAGCCAGGCGTCCCAGGCTTCCCAAGTACTGCAGGTTCAGGTCACTTCCCGGTCGCTGCGCAGGCCCTTGGTGCCGTTGCGCAAGGTGTCCCAGGCTCCGCAGGTTCAGGTCAATTCCGGGTCGCAGCGCAGGCTGGTGCCGTTGCGCAAGGTGTCCCAGGTGCCACAGGCTCAGGTCACTTCCCGGTCGCAGCGCAGGCTGGTGTCGTTGTGCAAGGTGTTCCAGGTTCCGCAGGTTCAGGCCACATCCCGGTCGCAGCGCAGGCTGGTGCCGTTGCGCAAGGTGTCCCAGGTTCCGCAGGTTCAGGTCACTTCCCGTTCCCAGCGCAAGCCGGTGCCGTTGCGCAAGGTGTCCCAGGTGCCACAGGTTCAGGTCACTTCCCCGTCGCTGCGCAGGCTGGTGCCGTTGCGCAAGGTGTCCCAGGTGCCACAGGCTCAGGTCACTTCCCGGTCGCTGCGCAGGCTGGTGCCGTTGCGCAAGGTGTCCCAGGTTCCGCAGGTTCAGGTCACTTCCCTGTCGCTGCGCAGGCTGGTGCCGTTGCGCAAGGTGTCCCAGGTGCCACAGGCTCAGGTCACTTCTCGGTCCCAGCACTGGCTGGTGCCGTTGCGCAAGGTGTCCCAGGTTCCGCAGGTTCAGGTCACTTCCCATTCTCAGCGCAAGCCGGTGCCGTTGCGCAAGGTGTCCCAGGTGCCACAGGCTCAGGTCACTTCCCGGTCGCTGCGCAGGCTGGTGCCGTTGCGCAAGGTGTCCCAGGTGCCACAGGCTCAGGTCACTTCCCGGTCGCAGCGCAGGCTGGTGCCGTTGCGCAAGGTGTCCCAGGTTCCGCAGGTTCAGGTCACTTCCCGGTCGCTGCGCAGGCTGGTGCTGTTGCGCAAGGTGTCCCAGGTGCCACAGGCTCAGGTCACTTCTCGGTCCTAGCACTGGCTGGTGCCGTTGCGCAAGGTGTCCAAGGTTCCGCAGGTTCAGGTCACTTCCCTGTCGCAGCGCAGGCTGGTGCTGTTGCGCAAGGTGTCCCAGGTGCCACAAGCTCAGGTCACTCCCCGGTCGCTGCGCAGGCTGGTGCCGCTGTGCAAGGTGTCCCAGGTGCACTTCCAGGCGTCGTAGACCTAGGCTGCTCAGTGTCTCAGGTCAAGGTCTCCCACCAGCGCTGCAACAATAGTGTGCATGTTGTGCAGCCTTTCCTGACGACCACTGTGCCTGCCATGCTTGACTCAGTCTTTAACCCTCATGAGTTTGGGCTTGGATGCTTGGAATTAGAGTGGGGTCAGCTAGGACATCTTCACCACACAACTCTACAGGCCCTCCAGGACCTTGAGTGCTTCCTTGTGCAAAAGCCCATTCACGAGCTCGCCCTGTACACTGATGGCTCCTATGACCCACGCACTGGGATAGCTGCCTGGGCTGTCTGCGCGTTGGCGCGTCAAGCGCACGGTTGGTGCTTCGTTGGTTTTGCCGCCAATGCTCTCCCTGATGAGCACAAAACAGAGGTAGGACAGCAAGGTCTCTCCCATCAAGCTGAGCTTTATGCGCTTGCTGCTGCGTTGGTCCTGGTAGGTTCGGTTGCAGACATACCAGCCAGCATCGGTTATGATGCCAAAGCGGCAGCGACGATTGCGCAGGCCATAGCTTGGCCCAAGCAGTCTGATCGGCTGTCTGAGGCACTAGCGCTGCTTGCGCACCTTGCAACAAGCCGAGCACCAAGGCTCGACTGGCACCACGTTTCCAGCCACACAGGCAACCCTTTCAACGAATTTGTGGATGTTGCTGCCAAAAGAGCTGTGCAGGGCAAATGCCGCCACCCAATCCTGCAGGACCACATCGTCAATGTTGTGCTCAGCACTGAGTTCCAATGGTGTTGGTTGCATGACAATGCCATTGTGCCTTCCCATGCCGTACCGCCGGTTGATGAGGCAGGCACCATGAGACCTATTCAGGGAAAGCCCAGCAGTCATCCGTCTCTGTGCACGTGGCCGAACCTTGACAGACGCCGTCATGTCAAGCCTAACTTGCGTTGCAAAACCCAGAAGATGCCGCCAGTCATGACCTGGCAGCTCCGCATGGCCACTTACAACACACTGTCTCTCCAATCCTTGGCGCAGAGGCACACAATTGCCACCTTGTTCGCGCAGCGGGATGTCCACCTCATAGGGTTGCAGGAATGTAGGTATACGCCCGCCGAGCCTAGGTCTAGGCAGGGAGAGTATCATGTCTACGCTGGTCCCAATGATGCTGGCCAGTTTGGGTGCCAGCTCTGGGTCAAAGCAGATTGTCCTTTCGCGCAGAGCCATACTGGAGAGGCAGTGCAGTTCTGTCCTTCACAAGCCTCCATCCTTGTCGCTGAGCCTAGACTCCTGGTTGTCTTGCTTGATTTAGGAAGCATGGCCATGGCGTGTGTAGTGGGGCATGGCCCTACTGCTGCAGCTGGAACAGAAATAGTCACGGCGTGGTGGAACAGGCTGGACAGCTGTCTGCGAATGATACCACGCAAATTCCGGCCTTTCCTTTTCCTGGACGGCAACGCCAGGTTCCAACAAGGGCCAGCGGGCGGTGATACACTTGCGGCGCAACCTCAGAATCTGCCTGCAACGATGCTGAGGGAGACTGCCCTTCGACATTCTTTTGGCTGCAGTGCTCAAGTTGATGAGTGCCCTAGACCGGTAGTGTCTTGGGTCGGTGGTAAAGGCAAAACAGGGTGCATTGACTACCTGCTTGTGCCGGACAGCTTAAGAAACGGCTTTAAGACTGAGGGCAGTTGGGGCGACTTCCCCACTATCCACGGGCCTGATCACGTGCCAGTTGTTGCACGTGTTCAATGGACAGACGCGGCTTTGCCTACCTGTAGCCCTATGTCCATTGACAGAGCTGCAATGCTCACCCCTCATGGCAGAGAAGAAGTCGTCAGAATCATGCAGTCAGCGCCTTGCTTGCCATGGACTGCTCACGCCGACGACTATCTCCATGAACTTAACTCATACCTTGGCACGCAGCTAGCCGCATCTTTCCCACTTCACAGGCAGCGACCCCGACAGCCAAGCATTTCTGACCACACATGGAGCTGGATCAGACACCGACGGGCACTGCGGCGCCAGTTGCACCGCATTCGAAGCATGCAAAATCTTCAAAGACTTCGTAGGTGCTTCCAAAGCTGGCGTAGGAACAGAACTGAACGCGACCATGCAGAGAGGTGGAGCCTTCTGCAAGCAAGAGTCGGCCAGATGATACGCGCAGCCACTTCCCAGATCCGCGTGCAGATGCGCAGAGACACGGCTGCGCACGTCCGGGCCGCTTTCGCCGAGGCGCGCGCAGACGGCCCCGAAGCTGTCGCTCGCTTGCTCCGCAACACCTTGCGTACGGGTCGATCCTATAGGCCGTTGAGGGTCGCGCCTGCGCTTGAAGTTGATGGGCAGGTTGTCGCAGGCCAATCAGCTGTCGAAAGAACTTTCGCAGAATACTTCGCGGCTGCTGAAAAGGCGCAGGAGAGCACCAGAGCTGAGCTAGATGCGCTGCCCAGCGCGGCCCTTGGGCCTGTCGACGCCGACAACACTCCGAGCTTGATGCAACTTGCGGGACGTTTTGCAATGATGAAGCGCAACAAAGCCACTGGGATTTCCAAGATCCCGGCGGAAGCCTTCCGCGCCGCTCCCATACATGCAGCAGCGCTCCACTTCCCCTTGCTACTACGCATGGCTGTTGGGCGAGAAGCACCTTTCTTGTGGAGCGGCGGGTTGAGTGTCCCGCTGCCGAAGCCAGCTAAGCCGCTCAAAGAGCTCAATGGGTGGCGAAGCGTGATGTTACATGAGGTTGCCTGTAAAGCAGTAGGACAGACCTTCAGGCCCTTGCTTGTCCGACATTTCCTTCAGCTGGCGTCCGAGGCCCAGTGTGGATCCCAGCGTAGTGTGCCCCTTGCGCTTCCGATGGTGCACGTACGTGCTCACCTGCAGCACCTTCAGGCCAAAGGCAAGTCCGGCGCCATCCTCTTCATTGATTCCAAAGATGCCTACTACAGCGTCATTAGGAATTTTTTGTTCAAGGATGGGGCGATTCGTTCTCAAGCCAGTCTTGCAGACATGATACAGCGCGTTCACCCCTGTCCGGACAAACAGCGCGAGCTTGCTGCAGCACTAGTTGGACCGGGACTGCTTGCCGATGCGCCGCCCGCGCTGGTCAACTATGTGAAAGGCACCCTCACCAATGCATGGTTCACCACTGCCGCCGATGCCAGCATTCTAATGTCTACTGCCACTGGTACCTCTCCTGGTGCCCCTCTGGCTGATGCCCTCTTTCAAGTAATTTTCACTACAGTGCTGGATGGCCTTCGAAGTCGGCTGAGCAACGCGGGACTTGACGTGCTCGCTGATGATGGGTCTAGCGCGCCACATCCGACATGGGCTGATGATGTGGCCGTGCCGCTCCTCAGTGACAGGGCAGATGAAGTACCAAGTGCTGTCCAGCAAGCCGCCGTGACTGCGCACGAAGAAATGAGCAAGGTGGGCCTGCATATGAACTTCGACAGAGGCAAGTCAGAAGCGATGCTCATACTTAGGGGTCCAGGGTCTCGACGGCTCCGACAGCGCCTTCTCAGCCCCAAGAAGCCCTTTCTGCCTGTTACCCTACAGAATGGAGTGCAGGTTCAACTGGCGCTGACGCAGTCTTATGTGCACTTAGGAGGCTTAGTGACGGATGATGGCAAGTACATGCAGGACATCGATCGCAGACATGCGCTCGCCGCTGCAAATTTCAATGCCTTCAGAAGGGCCATTCTTTACAACTCCGCCTTGACAGTGATCGACAAAGGGCAGCTGTTCCATTGCTTGGTGCTGACAAGGTACATGCATGGCATGGGACAGTGGATCCTCGACAAGCGCGCGATGGCTCGCCTTAGGTCCCATGTGTATGGGTGGTACCGAAAGATGACGCGACCGCTTACAGGGTTCTCCTCTCGAGGCTTGACTGATGCGGAGGTCTGCGCCCTTACCGGACTCTTCCCGGTAGAGGTCCATGTGACGGCGGCCAGAGCCATGCAGCTGCACACGATCGCGACGCAGGGACCGGGCTACCTGTGGTCGATCCTTCAAGCGGCCCCGGAGTGGCTAGACGCTGCCCTCAATGCACTCCGTGAGGCTGCCTGTGACACTGAGGCAGGCATAGAGCTGCCGCAGGCAAGAGCAGAAGCGCTACACTTTCTGCATGGACACCTGACGTGGCTTCGACGTTTGCCTGCTGCGCTGAAGCGGCAAGCTGGCCGAAAACAAGCTGAGGCGCGCAACAGCCTTGTTCGCAAAGCGAGAGACCTGTGTCGCTTGCACGATGAAGGCGGTGGGATCTTCAGCCTGCCGGCTGCTTCTGGCCACTCTGGCTTCCTATGTGTCGTTTGTGGTGGTCTTTTCTCCACGCGCGCTGCGTTGTGCTCTCACCTCTCCCGAAGACATATGCATGCGAGCTCCACAGCTCACATTGCAGGTACGCGATGCGCAGTGTGTTCCATGGAGTTTTGGACCACGCCCAGGCTTCGCCTCCATTTGAGAAAAGCCCCCAAATGCCTCACAGCACACATTGAGGCTGATCTGAGCTTTCTGAGTACAGAGCATAAATGTGAGATCAGCTTGAGCCGCAAGCCCGCCGTGCGCACGCCCGGCCCCACGCCCTTCTGGGCCTGCATGCGACCAGCTGCGACACCGCAGGAGATGCCTAAGCCGCTGGATCCACTTGTTTTTGTTTGGAGTGTTGCTGTAAGACATGCTAACGACTCCACGACATGCCTCAAGGAAATTGTAGAGTTCCTCCTGTTGCTTCCTGAAACGGTTCCCGCGCAGGAAATTCTTGAAGCTTGCCCACTAACTGTTTTGTTGAATCCCACGACGGCTGAGAAATTGGCCAGCCTCGTGCAGCTTGGTACCCACATCGTGGCATGGCGCCGGAGAGGTGGCAATGCACACTTTCGTGAGGGACCATTTCAGGTAACGTGCCAAGGCGACAGGGTGATGGTGACCATCGCCTAGTCGTGTGGAGCTGAGCGCGTCCATCGGACTCAAGCAGCAGAGCCACAAACCCTAAACCCTAAACCCTGAACCCTAAAACCTAAACCCTAAACCCTAAACCTGCCCAAAATCGAGCTTTAGGCTCAGGAGGCCTGTAGGTTGCCCTCGCAGCTACCGGCCCGCGGCCGACACCAGGCATCGGCGCCTCCTTGGCACCTCGAGGTGTTCAGTTTAGGTTTTCGGGTTTAGGGTTTAGGGTTTCGGGTTTCGGGTTTAGGGTTTAGGTTTAAGGTTTAGGGTTTAGGGTCAGCTTGTTGGGGGGTGAGTTGGCGGGGGAGTTGGGGGGCATTGAAGCTCTCTAGGGTGGCCTACCAAGGAAGAAGAGTCCTAACAAAGCGTGTTTCTCATAGACTTTTGAGTGTCGTTTCTGGGTTGCTCAGTCACCATACTATAATCAGGGTACCCTTGTCGAAGTTGGTTTTTGATGAGGGAACCTTCAGAAAACAGCCGAAAGGGCACCACTGGGCTACTAGGGTATCATGGCTTCACTGTGGTATTCGGATGGGGATGCAATCGACTTATTTCAGGGCTGGGAGAGGGGGCGACTAAGAGCATCAAGGAGGGGAGAGGCCTGGGATCCATAGCTGCCTCCTTCGGCTCCGCAGCAGCATCCTTAGCGGCCTCCTTTGGAGAGGAGCCTCAGCAGCTTCCTCTAGCCGAGGGGAGGCGCCTTGACCGTAGGCATTCCCGCTCTAGCTGCCTGCATAGCTAGCGGGCCCAACCGGTTTGCGATGTTAGCCCTCCTCTGTAGCTCCGCCCGTAGCGATGCCGTGCCCCCTTCGGTGCGTAGCAAGTGGGCTAGCTCTTCCACCACGTCTTCGACAGGCAGATTCGGGTAGATGAGGAGGATTTGAGGCTTAGGATTCTAGGATATTTAGGGTTTTAGCTCTTAGGATGATATCGGGTTGAGGGCTTCAGTTTTAGGACGTTTGAGGGTGTTTAGGGTACATATAGGGTTTAGGGTTTAGGGTTTATGATTTAGGGTTTAGGGTTTAGGGTTTAGGGTTTAGGGGCAGAGTTTTTGGGAGATGAACTGATGCCGCAGCAAGGCACACGAAGGCCAACAGCAGCAGTGCGCGGAGGCACATGGCTCCAGGATGGCTAAGGGCTTAGGGCTTAGGGCTTAGGGCTTAGGGCCTAGGGCTTAGCGCTTAGGGCTTAGGGCTTAGGGCTTAGGGTTTAGGGTTTAGGGTTTAGGGTTTAGGGTTTAGGGTTTAGGGTTTAGGGTTTAGGGTTTAGGGTTGAGGTTATAGGCTTCCTGCATGCAATGTTTCCTGGGTCTTCCTGGAGCATGCGAGGGGGCATGCTGGTTCGTGATTTGAAGCCGGTAAGGCCTTTCAACGCACATGAAGTTTTTATCACACGTGTGTATGGACAGTTCTCTAGATTATGGTCTCTCCTGGGTCCTTATTATACGGCGGCCCCTCTTATTCAGGGTACCCAACTAGACCCAGGAGTAACCTAGGAATAAGAGGGTACCCCTTTTTGGTTTTAAGGGGATGAGTAGGGAAGCCCAACCCTAACGCAAGGAATTTAGGGCCTACTCCGGGTCCTAGTAGCCATAAACCCTAAGTTGCAAGGCTGTTCCGGAAGTCTCCATCCTCAGCCTTTTGTGGCCCGGTGGAGCTGTGCTAAATTCTCTAAGGGCCCATGGACCTACATAGTACAGACTTGGGCCCTAAAGCTACTACATGTCAACCCTCATGTAAGGCCCAAGTGTACGCCATATAGGTACACGGACGTTTTAGGGTTTAGGGTTTAGGGTTTAAGGTTTAGGGTTTAGGGTGGGCAGCTACGACTTAGATCCGAAGACGCACGTCCAAGCAAGAGTTGCTTGGTCCACCGGCCCTTGCCCCCTTTCTGCTGCGGCTCCTGGAACACATCTAGGCTTCAAGGTCCTGGGTTTAGGGTTTAGGGTTTAGGGTTTAGGGTTTAGGGTTGAGGGTTTAGGGTTTAGGGTTTAGGCTTTAGGCTTTAGGCTTTAGGCTTTGGGGTTTGGTTTGGGGTTTAGGGCTACTCAACGATTGGCTCCATGGCTGATGACAGCAGGGTCAGAGAATCGTGGCATTTGGAATCTGGACGGACTGGCCATGAAGCCCAAAGATTTAGGTTCCTACCGACTGCTAGTACGCAAGGCAAGTGGCAAGAAGCGCCGATCGTCCTGTTGAGTCAGGGTTCATGCCGACCCAAAGGCTCCACTGTAGTTCCTTTTGGGTTAGCAGTATGCTACCCCGAAAAGGTACTGCCTAGGAGCCTCTGGGTACTAAAGAGACGGTCGCAGCTGGGGAGTTGCTGCTTATATCAGACTCTTACAAACAGCATAACATCTATAGAAGCCTCTTACTTGGTAGCCCAGGATCGGATCCTTGGACATCAGCCCCTCGCCGCGGATGCATTCCCAGACCTGCTGCAGGGTGATTCCCCCCCCCCCCCCCGGTTTGGGGTTTAGGGGTTAGGGGTTTAGGGTTTAGGGCGTTTAGGGCGTTTAGGGTTTAGGGTTCAGGGTTTAGGGTTTAGGGTTTAGGGGTTAGGGATTAGGGGTTAGGGGTTAGGGGTTAGGGGTTAGGGGTTAGGGTTAGGGGTTAGGGGTTAGGGGTATAGGGATTGGGGGGTGCTGAAACCGAAAACTATTTTCAAATTAGCTGCTGCATGGGTTTGAGGGTGTGAGGGCTTGAGAGTTTCTGATTTTTTGGAGGGTTCAGGGTGTAGAGTTTCGGTTGCTTCTGGCTTGTGGGGGTTAAAGGGTTCAGGATTTAGGGTTCGGGGTTCAAGTCGTCGAATGCCGTGCTCCCAGCCCCTGACCTTTTGCAGACTCCGACTCTAGACCGGCAACCGCGTGTCCTTGAGACATCATCGGCGGATGCCGTCGCCCGGGTGAAACATGAATGAAACTTCACATGCATCATCCGCCTCACTACCTTGGTAGCCCGGTAACCATGCTATGACAAGGGTACCCTTTTTGGGGGGTTGGTTCCGCTATACGGGAACCTGGCCCGCAAAAAAAGGAAAAGGGTACCACTGGGGCACCAAGTTGCCGGAAGAACTGATCCATTCGCTGTGTTGTCTGCGCCTGGTTCGAGGAAGCACCGAAGTTGCTGGTGGTCCACTGAATGGTATCCTAGGATAGCGGTTTCGGGTTTCGGGTTTAGGGTTTAGGGTCTTGGGATAGCCCTTGAAGGCATCGAACAAAGTAGTGCCGCAAGATCTCCACGAACCCAAGAAAGGAAAATGTGTAGTTCTCTCAACTAGGGTCCCTTTTTGGGTCGCCTAGATAGTACACCACCCTTAAAAACACAAAGCCCCAAAATGGGCCCAAACTTAGAGCTAAACCCTAAACCCTAAACCCTAAGCCCAAAGCCCTAAGCCCCGAAGCCCGAAGCCCTAAGCCCTAAGCCCCAAGCCCCAAGGCCGAAGGCCTAAGGCCTAAACCCTAAACCCTAATCGAAAATATCCCAAGGGCCCACCGAGTGTCCGACAGCGACGCCAGGCTCCCAGCACGACGGAGGCGCCCCGACTTTCCCACAGTGCTTCGCGCGAGGCCGAACTGTACCAGGCTCTGCCTGGCTACTGAACTTGAGCGAGTTTAGGGTTTAGGGTTTAGGGTTTGGGGTTTAAGGTTTAGGGTTTAGGGTTTAGGGCTTAGGGCTTAGGGCTTAGGGCTTAGGGCTTAGGGCTTAGGGTTTAGCGGACTGAACTTGAAGATCAAAAGACTTTACTGTTTATACAGGGAAAGAGTGATGAATTTGACGTTTAACATTAAAAACCACACAAAGAATCATTGAAGGATCACCTGAGCTGCTGCTTCTTCAATCGCTGCAGGGGGTAGACGCAAAGAATGCATTTCCTTAGTTGTCCGGAAAAATTGGGGGACTGAAGGTTAACCTTTGAAAATTAAATAGGGATAGCCCTAAACCCGAAACCCTTAGATTTGGAGTAGACCCTGGAAAAAAAACTTCATACTTGTTGGGTATAAGTAGCTACAATAGGAACCCAGAACCAAAAAAAGTATTAAAGTATAGTACTCCAAGACCCAGTACCTATTCTACAACTAAGTCTCCGCCCATAGAGCGACGCGGCACCCCAGGTGCCGTCGAACATGTCACCGGGTGGAACGACCGCCTTCTGCACCTGACAAGGGACTCAAGGAGGTTTAGGGTTTAGGGTTTAGGGTTTAGGGTTTGGGGTTTGGGGTTTAGGTTTAGGGTTTAGGGTTTAGGGTTTAGGGTTTAGGGTTTAGGGTTTAGGGTTTAGGGTTTTTTTTTTTAACAACCCTTCACTCCTTTTCGGGCGAGCTTACAGCTAGGGTAGGTTACGAAACCGGAAAGCATGCCCCTCAGTACTCCCTGTGCATGATCACGTCACACGGGTTTAGGGTTTAGGGTTTAGGGTTTAGGGTTTAGGGTTAAGGGTTTAGGGTTTAGGGTTAGATGCCAACTGCGAACCCTTAAACAACCACCTGAAGGGCATGCAGGGGGGGGGGGGGGATATTGTTAGTTCCCTTACTTCCCATGAGAAACTACAATCAGCCTCCCTAAGCCCTAAACCCTAAACCCTAAACTCTAAGCCCTAAACCCTAAAAACCCTGAGGATATCAAACCGGGAGATCGGCTTCTTGATTCCCTCTCTTTTCCCAGGAGGGCTTGTATTCACAGCCAAAACCCCCAGACCGCATAAGCCCTAAACCCTAAACCCTAAACCCTAAACCCTAAACCCTGAACCCTAAACACCTAAACCCTCTAAAAGGCACTCCAAGGGTAGTCGCCTGAAAAGTAAAGCCCAAACCCCTAAACTCCTTGACCTCCTAAACCCTCCTGGAGGCACTCCAATGGTAGTCCCCTGAACCCTAAACTCCTAAACTTCTAAACTCCTAAACTTCTAAACTCCTAAACTCCTGAACTCCTAAACTCCTAAACTCCTAAACTCCTAAACTCCTAAACACCTAAACTCCTAAACACCTAAACTCCTAAACTCCTAAACTTTTGAACTCCTAAACTCCTAAACTCCCAAACTCCGAAACTTCTAAACCCTGAACCCTAAACCCTAAACCCCTAAGCCCCCTAAACCCTAAACTCCTACACTCGTAAACCCTCGAAAAGGCACTCCAAGGGTGTTGGTATGGAAGAGCTCGCAGCCAGTGGCGCCGGGTCCCACGAAGACCACATCCCGGCCACTTGCGTTTCGCTGGGGAAGTCCCAAGATGCACTTCTCCTGGGTTCCGGGTTGAAGGGTTTAGGGTTTAGGGTTTAGGGTTTAGGGTTTAGGGTTTAGGGTTCAGGGCTTAGGGTTTAGGGTTTAGGGTTCAGGCTTTAGGGTTTAGCGGCTAGCGTTTAGGGTATAGGGTTCTTGCGAAAGAGCTTAGCTACCACAATACATAATGTAAGCTCCTTAGCAATAGCCCTAAACCCCAAAACCTCAACCCCTGAACCCTGAATGAACCCTAAACCCTAAACCCCTTAAGCCCAGAATCCGCATACTCATCAAAAGTCGCCGGCCGCGAGCACGGGTACCTAGGTTGTCCAGGGGTTTCAGTCTAGGGTTCAATGGTTAGGGTTTATGGTTTAGGGCTTATGGTTTAGGGTTTAGGGTTTTGAGTTTAGGGTTTGGGGTTTAGGGTTTAGGGTTTAGGGTACTGTACCCAGGTTGTCCACTAAGAAAAAAAGCGTGCTTTGGTTTGTATTTTGGGGGTTTGTAGGGTTTAGGGTTTAGGGTTTAGGGTTCAGGGTTCAGGGTTTAGGGTTTAGGGTTTAGGGTTTAGGGTTTAGGGTTTAGGGTTTATAGGGAATAGGGTTTAGGGTGCAGGGTTTATAAGGTGTAGGGTTTAGGACTGAGGGCTTGAAATTCTCAACTAGCCTGCCGAGAGAGCTGAGAAAACAAGAGGCACCCCTGCTTTGCTGAAGGGGGCGTGTCCCTACGCTACCTCCTCGATCGCCCAGGGGAAAACAGGGTTGAGCTTTATTCCCTAAACCCTAAACCCCAAACCCTAAATCCTAAACCCTAAACCCTAAACCCTAAACCCCAACAATGCACCTTAAACCCTAAACCAATAATAAAGCCCCGCCAGGTACGTACGAAACCTAACCGTAAAGGACTGGGTAGCCCACTAGCCATACTATCATAAGGGCACCCTTTTTTGGGGCTGGTCACTTTGTAAGGGAACCTTGAACAAGGGTACCACTGGGCTACCAAGAAGATGGAATTAAAAGTTCTACCGGGCATCCCAAGGTACTTCTGAGATGCCGCGATCATCATCATCCGGTCCATCTCCCCGCCGGTGTACGCCCGACCGTCCATGTCAAACTCGGCGAGCCCGACGAACACTACTTGCCCCGGCCGCGCTGATATTGGTGCTTCACCTCGCGGGTTCGCTTGTAGTGGGGAAGGAGGAGTTAGCAATGAGGTACCTGGTAGAACCGCTTAAAGGGCTTGTACAGGGAAATAGCCCTAAACCCTAAACCCGAAACCCAGAACCCTAAACCCTACACCCAAAGGGGTATAGGGTACCGAATTCCCAGTAGGTCGCGGTTTGACAACTCCGGATCTCCGTGGTAGTTGTCGATCCGTTCGTGCGTCCCAGCGCGTCCGTGCGGCAAACCTCTCATGGGTTCCCCAACTACCCCCCTCTATAGCGTTTAGGGTTTAGGGTTTAGGGTTTAGGGTTTAGGGTTTAGGGTTTAGGGTTTAGGGTTTAGGGTTTAGGGTTTCGGGTTTAGGCCCCCCACACCCCCCCCAGGTTCCCCCTATAATTCAGGCTATGTAGGGATGACTAAGCCTAATTAAGGTTGTTTAAGGGCGGGAACCTGGGGGGTGGTAGCCCTACACCCTAAACCCTAAAACCCCAAACCCCAAACACCAGACCCTAAACCCTAAACCCTAAACCCTAAACCCTACACCTAGGGGGGGGTGGTATAGAGGCGGGTAGTAGGGAAACCCATGAACCTCTCTCGGAGAAGTCCGACCACAGCTCGGGCATCTTCTGGTTGATGCTGCGATGGAACACCTTGGTAGCCCAGTTACCTTATTACAATAAGGTTTTGTTGGGGAGGGTTTAGGGCTTAGGGCTTAGAGCTTGGGGCCCAGGGGTGTTGGGTACTCCTATACGGGAACCTACCGTGCCCACAAGGGTACCACTCTGCCAAGACACGCTATGCCGCGCCACTGGGAAGGCGCTGATGCCCGATGGCAGGGTCTGGAGCCCGCAGTTCAGCCGCCGCTCCTCGGTTGCCGGCCCATGGCCCACACGCGGCATGCTGCTCTCTACGCCTCACTTCTAGGGCAGGCTTGAGGAAGTCTTGCGGCCAGGAGGTTTAGGGTTTAGGGTTTAGGGTTTAGGGTTTGGGGTTTAGGGTTTAGGGTTTAGGGTTTGGGGTTTAGGGTTTAGGGTTTAGGGTTTAGGGTTTAGGGTTTAGGGTTTAGGGTTTAGGGTTTAGGGTTTAGGGTTTAGGGTTTAGGGTTAGGTTTAGGGTTTAGGGTTTAGGGTTTAGGGTTTAGGGTTTAGGGTTTAGGGTTTAGGGTTTAGGGTTTAGGGTTTAGGGTTTAGGGTTTAGGGTTTAGGGTTTAGGGTTTAGGGTTTAGGGTTTAGGGTTTAGGGTTTAGGCTTCAGGAAGTCTTGCAGCCAGGCATGAAGGTCCATCAAGAGTTGTGGACCACAGGTCCGACATGACTCGCCTGCGAGCTAAACCCTAAACCCTGAACACCAAACCCTGAAGCCTAAACCCTAAACCCCCAACATGGGCTAACCCTGCAACCTAAATTCTTATCCGCAAAAAACGGTTACCTGAAAACCTACAACCCTAAACCCTGCATCCCCCGCTGCATGGGTCGACTCAAGACAGGGCCCGACCATGCCCCTAAACCCTAAACTCTAAACCCCAAACCCTAAACCCTAAACCCCAAACCCTAAACCCTAAACCTGCAAGAAACAGCTTCCCTTGGGAAGGCCTTCTCTTCGAGGCTGATGGGCAGAAGCTGTACCGAGCCGTGCTCCGTCCTCCGCAGGTCTAAGAAAGGACGGTCTAAGAAAAAGGACGTTTAGGGTTTAGGGTGTAGGGTTTAGGGTTTAGGGTCTAGGGTCTAGGGTGTAGGGTGTGGGGTGTAGGGTGTTAAGTTTTGGACACATTGATTTTCAAGATCTTAGGGGTTGAATTGAATACCCTAGCCCAAAAAAAGGTTAACTTTTCTCAATAGAAATTATATATAACCAAAACAGGTTGAACAGGTTCACTACCCAGCCTGTAAGAGTTTAGGGCTTAGAGCTTTAGGGTTAGAACGCAGCATGCCACCAAGGGGAGCCAAGCGCACATGCACTGACTTCTCTAACCTGTGGTCCCTTTTGGGGTCCTTACAAGGCGGCCCCTGTTAAGTAGGGGAACCAAAAAGCGGCCAGAACTTAGAGAACTGGCCATGCGTTCGGTTCGTGCGCAGCGCTTGACACAGACACACAAGCTTGAAGACTTCGCATGAGGAGCAGATAGGAAGGCAATCCTTGTAATTGCTACAACTGGGCTCATGTTCAGGGAGTCATACAGTACTCTCTTCATGGTAGACCCTAAGCCCTAAGCCCCAAGCCCCAAGCCCCAAGCCCTAAACCCTAAACCCCAGACCCTAAACCCTAACCCTAAACCCTTAACAGATAACCCTGCATGCCAAATCCGAAGCCCATGGACACCAACTTTGTCAAGCCTAAACTCAGCGAAACGAAGCCCTCCATCTACCAATTGCTTACAAAACCCCAACATGACAAAAAATCTTCCTATAAGCATAATATGAGCATGACTATTTCTTAAAATTTGTTGGGGGGAAGTGGTTCTTATGTAAATAGTAGTCATTGTCGCTCGAGCCACCAATTTGAGAGGTTAGGGCTGCCCTCGAGGCCATAGGCAGCTTCGATTCTTTTCGGGTTTAGAGTTTAGGGTTTCAGGGCTGTGGGGCTTAGAAGTTCTTAGGGTTGAGCCACTTGGAACTCTTCAGTTTGGGAAGCACGGTCCAGACATGAAGAAGCTACTTATGCATCCTACTTGGTCCTCCCGTGACATAGTGGGCACCCAGCACATGCGCTGCACTGAAGTCAGCGCTTAGCGTTTAGGATTTAGGGTTTAGGGCTTGGACGTCGGGTTCCTGCTCGAGGGAGAGGGCGTGGCGCCCTATCGCTTTTGCCCGGAAGTGCCAACGCAAAGGTGCAACTCAGACCTTTAGGACTTCAGGCCTTAGGCCGTGCATCATCTACAGTCTCATGGGATGGCGGCAAACTCGCGACGGACAACTGCGAACATGCATCAGATCAAATGCCCAAACACTGGTATTTACAGCGTTTTTGCCTGCCACTTGGTAGCCCACCCCTTTTTCGGAATGGTTACTGCACAACCCAAAACCCTAAACCCTAAACCCTAAACCCTAAAACCTAAACCCTAAACCCTAAACCCTAAACCCTACACCAAAAAAAAAAAGATAAAGGGCACCACTGGGCTGCCAAGGCTAGGGGGCATCAGCGAACTCAACCCGGGGAGAAGAAGAGAGTTTAGGGTTTAGGGTTTAGGGTTTAGGGTTTAGGGTTTAGGGTTTAGGGTTTAGGGTTTAGGGTTTAGGGTTTAGGGTTCAAGGGGGGTAGGTACCAAGGGAACCTTAAGAAAGCTTTGGGGGCCTTACGGGGTAGTAGGGAGCATTAGGGGACATACCCCGCTTGAACCCCTCTCCCTCTCAGAAACCCAATAAGGGGTTGTTCGGGGGAAGTTGCGACACCTACATCCCAACTCTCAAACCCTACACCGGGCCTACACCCCCCTGCGCACCCGAAACCCTAAACCCTAAACCATAAAGCCGATGCACCCTAAACTCTCACAGCCCTGAAGGCCCGGAGGCTTGCAGTTTGAGTGTCTAGAGTAGCTTTCTCCTCCGCTTTTCCGCCAACCAGAAAACAGAGGATAAGACTTGCTTGGGGAACCCAAGGACTCGAGGGTTGAGAGCCCAACACACAACCCAAGCGCCCAAAACCCTAAACCCTGAACCCTAAACCCTAAACCCCCATACTTCAAAAACGTTTTTTTAAGAAGGTACTTTCCGTAGGCAGGAAGCCCCGGAATCCTTATGCCCCAATCAAGCTGTTTTACCTCCGGTTTAGGGCTTACATGGCTATCCCTGAGAAGGTTCGAACCCATTAAAGCTCGAGTTCCCGCGCAACCTCCAACCCCTCACCCTAAACCTCCAAACCCCTAAACCCTAAACCTCCAAACCCCTAAACCCCTAAACTGCTAAACCCCCTAAACCGCTAAACCCTGAACCCGAAACCTCTAAACCCCTAAACTCGAAACCCCCCAAACCCTGAAACCTGAACTCCTACACCCTAAACCCTAAACCCTAAACCCTAAACCCTAAACCCTAAACCCTAAACCCTAAACCCTAAACCCTAAGCCCTAAACCCTAAACCCTAGGCGTTTTGTTGTGTTCGGGTTTGGGCGATTTATGGCTTTTGGGCTTTCAAGGGCCCATTGTCAGGGTTCGCCCTAACAACCCAAAAGCTGCCTCTTTGTAGGTTGCCTATAAAGACCCCACAAGGGGTGTTATAACAGTTCGTAAGGTAGGGTGCAGGGCTTAGGGCTTAGGGCTTAGGGCTTAGGGCTTAGGGCTTAGGGCTTAGGGCTTAGGGCTTAGGGCTTAGGGCTTAGGGCTTAGGGCTTAGGGCTTAGGGCTTAGGGCTTAGGGCTTAGGGCTTAGGGCTTAGGGCTTAGGGCTTAGGGCTTAGGGCTTAGGGCTTAGGGCTTAGGGCTTAGGGCTTAGGGCTTAGGGCTTAGGGCTTAGGGCTTAGGGCTTAGGGCTTAGGGCTTAGGGCTTAGGATTTTCTGGGAAGGAAGAACTGACGCACACAGCGCTCATCCTCATGCTCCCTGCGCCCGGGTGCGTTTCGAAGGGCTAAGGTTTAGGGTTCTTAAGTTTGCTTTAGGGTTTAAGGTTTAAGGTTTAGGGTTTCTAGGTTTCGGGAGTCTTCAGCTGTTTCAGCTAAAACCAACCATCCTCCGGGAAGGAGTAGGGAGTGGACCACGTTCATAAATGCCCCGAAAGCACTTTGGTGTCACCTACTTCTTGGCATGTGTCCCCTTACACTTACAGTCCTTGTTGGGGATTCTAGTACCCCCTACTATAATCCCTCCGAAGGACTGTTAGTATAAGGGGGAACATGCCAAGGCTTAGGATTCAACCCTCAAACCCTCAAACCCTCACAGCCGAAAGCCCTCAAACCCTAAAACCCTAAAACCCCCTAAAGCCCTCAAACCCCCTAAAACCCTAAATCCTAAATCTACGTGGTCGGCGTCCTGCTCATTCCCTGGCGCCGGCCCTTCAAGTAGGGGAGCACCTTCTTTCATGGGTTCTCCTACTCCCCGCCTCTATACTACCCCCCAAGGTTCCCCCCTTGAAATAGCTAAGCCTAACTATCCCTAAATAGCCTTAATTATGGGGGGAACCTAGGGAGGGGGGGGGGGGTAGCATAGAGGGGGTAGTAAGGGAGCCCATGATCTTTGCCCATGCCTGCTTCGCTGGCAACTGGGAAGCCTAAACCCTGAACCCCCAAATTCTCAAGCATGAAACAATCTCTAAACCCTGGAGCCCTATAAACCAACATTACAAACCCTGAGCCCTAAGCCCTAAGCCCTAAGCCCTGAGCCCTGAGCCCTAAGACCTGAACCCTACCCAAACCCGGCTTTGCTTACGGCTGTGTCGGCGTTAGACGGAGGCTTCTGTGCAGAGTTTCGCCATGATAGCTTTAGGGGTTAGGGTTTAGGGTTTAGGGTTTAGGGTTTAGGGTTTAGGGTTTAGGGTTTAGGGTTTAGGGTTTAGGGTTTAGGGTTTAGGGTTTAGGGTTTGGCGTTTAGGGTTTCGGGTTTAGGGTTTAGGGTGCTGAAAGGAACCCGCAACATCACCTGACTCAAAGGGTCCATGCACTTTAATGAATAGGGAATGAAGGGGCTTTAAAGTACTTGCCATACAGTGCCTTTCGGGCCAAAGTATAGGCCCTAAACCCTAAACCCTAACCCTAAACCCTAAACCCTATTCCCTAAGCCTGGCGACCCTCGGCGCAACCTTAAACCCCAAGCTCGATAAACCCTATGGATGTGACATGGACCCTTCGGGCGGAGCCCTATCGAGATTGGGGTTTAGGGTAAGTTGAGAGTTTGAGGTGCATGTTTAGCTAGGGTTTAAAAACAGGGTTTAGGATTGAATTAGGGCTTAGGGAGTTTAGGGTTTAACAACCTGGGCATGTCCAAAAACAGGGGTATCCCTTTTCTTCCGCAGTCCCCTTAAAGGGGCCCCCAAAAAAGGGCACCGCTTATTTTCGGAAACCCCCACATGGGGTTCCGTCACCTCCCCCAAAACCCTAAACCCTAGACCCTAAACCCTAAACCTTAAACCCCAAACCCTAAACCCCCAACCCTACACCCTAGACCTTAAACCCTATCAGTGCAACCGTTGTGCCTGCCAGACCTCCTCCGAGAACTCCTCGCGCAGACCTTTGAAATTTTACAGGACTTGCCTTAAGGGCAGTTCGCATGGGCCCCCTTAAACGGGGACCCCTTATCCCCTCTACAAATCAAGGGCCCATACATCAGAACCCCTTAAGGGAGGTAAGAGACAAAACTAAGGGCCCATGAAACTACCGTTTAGGGTTTAGGGTTTAGGGTTTAGGGTTTAGGGTTTAGGGTTTTGGGTTTTGGGTTTTGGGTTGAAATTTCTTAGCAGGTAGGTCGTGATGGAGTCCTACTGTCCTTCGGGGGTCTGGGAATCCAATTACATCCTCGATAGCCCAGGCGAAAACGTTAAACCTTATTGCTTATTCCTATACAATAAGGAAACACAAAAGAGCTTAAAGTTCTCAGCTACAGGCTAGGCAAGTAAAAAATCCATACGAAGGAGATTCCACCTGGTTGGAGACAGGGTTTGGAGCTTCCTGCATCCGATCGTTCATTGACGGCGGCTACGCGTGCGTTAAACAGTCAACCCCGCCCTAACCCTAAACTCTAGAATCGAAACCCTAACCCGAAAACCCTAAGCCTAAACCCTAAACCCTATAAAGCCCAAACCCTAACCCCTAAATCCCAAACCCTAAAACACTAAAACCCCGGAAAGCTCAAGATCCACCTATATAACGACCCTGGGTCGCAAAGACTGGACCATCGGGTCAGGAGTCAGAAGGCGAACCCTAAAGTGGACCTCTTAGGGTTTAGGGTTTAGGGTTTAGGGTTGAGGGTTTAGGTTTCAGGGTTCAGGGTTCAGGGTTTAGGGTTTAGGGTTGAGGGTTTAGGGTTTAGGGCTTCGGGCTTAGGGCTTAGGGACCTCTTAGATGTCCAGTAACCTAGGGAGGACTGAAGGTCAACTAGATGTTCTAGGGATACCTGCTCTACTACGAAGACATCTGACGATAAACCTTTTTTCCTCAAGGGCCTTGACGTTCAGGGTTTACGGCTTGGGTTTTGGGAATTAGGGCTTGAGATCCCTATATTGCAATGGGCTTAGGGTTTCGGGTTTAGGGTTAGGGTTTAGCGTTTGGGGCTAGGGAGGGGGCTACATTAAACTCGAGACCTTTCACCCAAGGTCCGGTCGCGAGTCGCAAGCCAACGCCGCGCAACTCCGCTGTTAGAGTGTTAGAGATTGCCGGTGAAACGGGGCGGGGCGAGGGGGGATTTAGAGTGTAGGGTTTAGGGTTTAGGGTTTAGGGTTTAGGGTTTAGGGTTTAGGGTTTAGGGTTTAGGGTTTAGGGTTTAGGGTTTAGGGTTTAGGGTTTAGGGTTTAGGGTTTGGGGATTAGCGCTGCAAGAGCCAACTCCTGCATGGGATTCACGAAGGAGGAGGCCCGCCTTTAGGAGGCGATCAAGCCGAAAAAGCTCAGGATCAGCAGGCCACTGTTAAAGAAGGCGACTGCTGCTGAACCCACCTGGGGGGTCTAGGGTTTAGGGTTTAGGGTTTAGGGTTTAGGGTTTAGGGTTTAGGGTTTAGGGTTTAGGGTTTAGGGTTTAGGGAAACCGTAAACCATAAACCATTATTTAAGGGTCCCTCTCATCAGGACCATCATTCCCGCCTAATTTCAGTCTATGTTGGGGGTTCCATATTCTCGAAGACTCCCCCCGCCTGCACCTCCAATGTGGTCGTGGTGGTCGTGGTCGTGGTGCTGGGGCCTTGCTTGCTGAGTTCATAGGAATCCAAACAGTGTACACTTTAATGCCTAAACCCTAAACCCTAAACCCTAAACCCTAAACCCTAAACCCTAAACCCAAAAAGTGTAAAGTGTACTCATTCAGCTACTAAGGGGGCAGAGGCTGGCGTTCGAGCCCTGCATGGCGACCTTGTAGGAACCAGTACAGGAATCCAGGGCTGGTTGTACCTTACTTCTCCAATAGCCAAGGGAAAAAAAGGGTTAAACTCTACTATTCCTACTACATAAGGAAACAATGCCTAAACCCTCAACCCTAAACCCTAAACCCTAAACCCAAAAGTTTAAAGTTCAGCTGTTGGAGAAGAGTAAGGTACTACGCATGAGGGATCGAGGCTGCAAGAGAGGCCGCTGTAGTAGCACATCGCAAGAACGTCTCCCTGACAGACATACTTGAAACTTCCGTAGCCCGCCATGCTGTCAGTGGTCGCGCAGACCTCAAGGGGATAGACCGACGTGTTCTCTGCCGTTGTGTTGCAATCCTGATCCATGTAGTAGGCAAAGGAGATTGAGTGAGCTGTCACCAACGTCACCTTCTCGGTAGTTACGCCCGACTGTTCCGCACCGCAGTGATCCGTCCAATGGATTGCCATGTCTTGCGGGTCTGTGCAGTCGGGATTTGCGTGCGATTCGATCTCTACAGTCCTGCCCGGGACGGGCATCCTATCGACGATGGCAATGGTCTTGGAATCTTGGCATGCGCCCACTTGCCCCATCACGTAGCTTCGCGTCCTGAAGGGGGACCGGGTCTGAACTTCGTGCTTCGGCTTCGTCTACTTTGCACTTACAAGGCAACAACTTGCAGCTTACAGCCCTGACCGCCAGCCGAAGAGTCCTGGTCCCACTTGAGCAGTCGCTGCTGTTGAACAGGTCTCTTATCACCCATTCAAATTGCGCGGTGCTCATCACGGGCCATGCCAGAACAAGGCACAACCCCTTTGCCAGCATGTGGCCGGGGAGTGCAGAGAAGGCAGGATATGGAAGCTGGATGGAAAAGCCACTGAGGTGCCAGAGCACTGCACAGCATCGGCATCTAGACGCATCTTAACAGCATCAAGCAGAACGGCACCAGCGTAGCCAATGCAGAAACTAGACCCAGGAGTAACCTGGGAATATAAAAGGGGTACCCTCTTTCATCTAAAGGGTGCTTAGACCCAAGAGTAACCTGGGAATAGAAAGGGGGGGGTACCCTTTTTCATCTCAAAGGGGGGCTTATGAGGAACCGAAACCCTCAGACTACACAGGGTCCTGGGAAAAGATGAGGCTTGGGCATTTATGCAGGAAGCACTTCGACCGTAAAGACCGCACCAAGAGAGCCCAATGCCCCTCAATTCAAGGTGTAGGGTTTAGGACAGAGAGAGAGAGAGAGAGAGAACCCTAAACCCTAAACCCTAAACCTTAAACCCTAAACCCTAAACCCATATCGAGGGCTGAATATGGTGATGTAAGGTATGTTCCTTAATTCAGGGGGGTATTGGGCTCTCTGGGAAGCCCAACCTTGCTAAGATGCGCTCCCTCTAAACCCTAAACACTAAACGCTAAACCCTGAACCCTATACCCTGAACCGGAACCCATATACCGTTGGAACGTCAATAATCGAAAAACCTTACGGCAATGTATAGGGAAAGCTAGCCTAGTAGTCATCCCAAGTCCATGTTCCAGCTTTCTCGAGCTCACTATAAGCCCTAAACCCTAAACCCTAAACCCTAAACCCTAAACCCTAAACCCTAAACCCTAAACCCTAAACCCTAAACCCCAAACCCCAAACCCTAAACCCCAACCCTGCAAAGCTTGCATTGCAGATCCACCAGGCCCGGGATGATTTCTGCGGCTTGGGGCTCCCTTCCACGCTGCAGTGACTAAAAAAAGGGGCCTGAATAATCGGAATAGGGTTTAGGGTTTAGGGTTTAGGATTTAGGGTTTAGGGTTTAGGGTTTAGGGTTTAAGGTTTAGGGTTTAGGGTTTAGGGTTTTGGCTGATTCTTATGGTATAATTACAAAGGGGACCCGAAGGGAATCATAGTAGCAAGTATTCCGACACTTTTTTTATACGATAGTTATGAAGGTGTAATTATTCCGACCCTAAACCCTAAACCCCAAACCCCAGACCCTAAACCAGCTTTTGTTGTCTCATCCTGCTCCGGACTCTGCGTAAGTCAAGGCGTCCCACGCGAGGAACAGTACGGCTCGCTGGTTCCCCATCATGTCCCACCTTAAGGTTTAGGGTTTAGGGTTTAGGGTTTAGGGTTTAGGGTTTAGGGTTTAGGGTTTAGGGTTTAGGGTTCAGGGTTTAGGGAAACACAACCCTAAACCCTAAAACTTTGAAAAGATTCCCAAGCATCCCTAAGCCACTTCGAACTGGAGATGGCAACAGGCCAGCCGGCGATCCGGGTGTCCCCCACGTGACCCTCCTCGTTTGGAAGCACCTCATGGTTTAGGGTTTCGTGTTTCGGGTTTCGGGCTTAGGGTTTACGGTTTGGGGTTTAGGGTTTGGGGTTTAGGGTTTACGATTTGGGGTTTAGGGTTTCGGGTTTAGGGTTTAGGGTTTGGGGTTTAGGGCTTAGGGTTTAGGGTTTGTAGGGTTTAGGGCTCGTAGGGTCTAGGTACTGGTAGGGACATGAGGGCTCGGTTGCTGAAAAAAACGATTATGTAAGAATCAACACAAACAAGACGTTGTTGAGCAAAAAAGGCATTCGATGTGTATGATGGCCTTGAAAGCCTGTGATTGCGTTAATGCGGGCAAGCAAACGGGAGACTCCACCCTAAACCCAAAACCCCAAGCCCTAACCCCTAAACCCTTATTCTTAAACCCTAAACCTAAACTCGAAACCCTAAACCCTAACCCCTAAACCCTAAACCCTAAACCCTCCCAAAAACCCTAAACCGCATCTCCGGGCGGGGCTAGAATGTGGCCAGAGAAGGCTGGAAATTCCCCAAGTGAACCCCACCTATGGCCTGCCCTGACAAGTCCCTTTCTTCTCCGTCGACGATACATGGGGGGGTTTAGGGTTTAGGGTTTAGGGTTAGGGTTTAGGGTTTAGGGTTTAGGGTTTAGGGTTTAGGGTTTAGGGTTTAGGGTTTAGGGTTTAGGGTTTAGGGTTTAGGGTTTAGTGGGGTTTAGGGTTTAGGGTTTAGGGTTTAGGGTTTAGGGTTTAGGGTTTAGGGTTTAGGGTTTAGGGATTTTTAGGGTTTAGGGTTTAGGGTTTAGGATTTTACGAAAAGAAGGGACCCCTAAACCTTGAAAAAACGTTAAACGCTAAACCCTCAACCCTAAACCCTAAACCAAATGGGGGTTTACGATAATCGGGGACCCCTATCATAGACCCCCAAAATAGTAGGATCCCCTTATAATAAGGACGCCAAGAAGGTACCCCTACATATCGTAAACCCCCACATGGAACTCGAAGCCAAACCACATTTACGAAACCAAGGATCCTTCCGTAATAAGGGTTTAGGGTTTAGGGTTTAGGGTCATTAGCTCTCTAAATCAGGGTCCCTTTTTGTGTCCCCTACATAGTGTGGCTAAACCCTAAACCCTAAACCCTAAACCCTAAACCCTAAACCCCCAAAAGGGACCCTAATTTAGAGAACTACCCACGTTAAGGACGGCTGATGTCAGCATCCTCTAGACGCCTTTGTAAGACTTGTATGAAGGAAGCCAGGCACCTGGAAAGAAAAAACACCCTAAACCCTAAACCCTAAACCCCCCGAACCCTCAAGTTTAGGGTCTAGGGCCTGCGGCCTCAAACACTCAGCCCACGTTGCAAAACCCTAAACCCTAAACCCTAAATTCTAAACCCTAAACCATGAACCATAACCCTCAACCCTAAACCTCTGCGTCCAGGGCACCTTCAGGCTAACCCTGATCATGGCCAGGTCATGCAGCGTAGCCTGGGTTTAGGGTTTAGGGGTTAGGCTTTAGGGTTTAGGGTTTAGGCTTTAGGGTTTAGGGTTTAGGGTTTGCGGGTTAGGGGTTTGGGGTTTAGGGTTTAGGGTTTAGAGATTCGGGGTACTTGTTAACACAATAAAACTGCACTTATCGCCCACTTATAAGCCCCTTGAGTGCCCTAATATATGGCTTTAAGTACAGCTATAGGTATAGTTCTACTTGGTTAATATGTACCCTAATTCCTAAACCCTAAACTCAGGGCCTAGGCGCCCCCCTACGTTGGGGGGCGGCGCCTAAGCCCTTGCACCCGATGGCGCAAGCCGACCCAGGTCACTCGCCCGGGTTGGGATCAGTGCTGGCATTTTCGGGGAAGGTACCCCCGCCCAGCCTGGAGCCCTTGCCGCAGCGTGCCCAGGGACCAGGAGGCTTCAGGCTCAGGCAAGGCGGGTGCTCAAAAATTGAGTTCTTTCAAATTGGGTAAGACCTGCTGGCCTAGGAGCCCCTTCGAACCCTCCTGCCCAGGCCGCAAGACGCCCCTGAAGCTGCCTGGGACACCCGACCCCCCTGCCATTCCTGTGACTCTCACGAACGTCACGAAACTGAATAAGTGTTTACAAGTGAACTGTTGCCTTGAGTTTAGGTCTAAACCCTAAAAGGAATTAGATTTGGGTGGCTTTGCCGCCTCGGACGGCGTGGGGTGGGAGAAAAGTGTTAGATGGCCCTCCACAATCGGGGGCCAAAGCTGCTCTTGGCACCTCACGAAGCTTTCGAGCTTGTTCCAACACCTAACCTTCACAGCATCTCCGCCCATCACAGCAAACCCTAAACCCTAAACTCTAAACCCTAAACCCTAAACCCTATTGGGTTAAGTACCATGAACCTCCAAGTAGCCTGAAGTAGAACCGAGTGGTGCCCGGGCGTTGTCAGGTAGAGCTTGTTGGCCGCAAGCAGAAAGGGCGCAAGCCTTTTAGCAAGGCGGGGAGGGTTTAGGGTTTAGGGTATTTAGGGCTTAGGGTTTAGGGTTTGGGGTTTGGGTTTTGGGGTTTCGGGTTTCGGGTTTCGGGTTTTGGACTAAGGGATCCGCCGACCCTGGCGGCGGTGTAGGGTTTAGGGTTAGGGGTTTGGGATTTCGGGACTAGGGTTCCCCCCCCTTACCCCCCCCCCCCTTACCCCCCCCCCACCCCCCCCACCAACCCCCCCTCCGCAACCCCCCCAACCCCCCCCCCCCCAACCCCCACCCCCCCCCCACCCCCCCCCCCCCCCCCCCCCCCCACCCAACAGGAACCGCAAACAAAATCACCAAACCCCAAACCTTAAACTTGTTCTTGTGCGGGGTCGGCGGCTTGAGCCGGAGGCTCTTAAATTTCACCATGGAGTTGCCTATGTTGCAACCTTACGCCAACCACTCCAAGAGTTCGAAGCCTCTACCCCCCCATTCCCACAACACGTCCTCAAACCCCCGCACCCTGGTTTAGGGGTTTAGGGTTTAGGGTTTAGGGTGTAGAGTTTAGCGTTTAGGCTTGAGGGAAACAACCATTTCCGGCATTGAGGGTTGAGAGGTTTCGGGCCTCTTGGGTCGGCGGCCTGAGCCGGAGGCTCCTAAATACGAAGGATAAGGGGTATGTGGGGGAGGCTACCTAACTGAAATGAGCGTAGCAGCCTTGTGCCGGGCTCATGACTGAAGATGTAAGAGAAGAAGCCGGCGCGCACGCCCATCCAATGGTCGTTGCTGAAATCGTCCAGCGCCACAATGCCGCCATCCGCCAGCACAGTCTCTGCAAGATGCAAATCACTGTGGACGCAATGCTCGTCGTGACCGCCATCTATCGACAAAAACCGCACGGGAAGCAGACCAGCCTGACGGAGAGCCGCGCGACTCAAGCGCTGACTCGGCCGCGCGAACACTGCAACGTGTGAAGGGTCCACGCCTCAGTAGCCAGGTATGACCATATCATAATAAGGGCAGCCTTTTTTTGGTCGGTCACTTTATAAGGGAACCTTGAACAAACAAAAGAGGGAAAAGGGTACCACCCTGACTACCAAGACGCCAAAGGCACGTA